GAACTTTGAATGTCATATTTCCCCCACAAAAAATATTTTGCACATGTTTACGTATTTTATACAATATATTATGATCATAATTTGTCATTTGCTACATTGTTGACTTTTCAGGTAAATTGGAGAGTGGAGTTCTCAGACACAGACAATCAGAATCATTGCCACTGTCCTAGAAAAGATGATACATGCTGGAACAAGACGGACTGGCCCAGGTCATGCCATCGCAGTAAAAGAAATATAAAACATTCGACACTTTAAAGATAATACTATATATATAATAGAGCTGACATGTAGAATTACAAGTACCATAACACATAATGTTTTAAGTCTGTGAAATTTTTTACATTTTGCATAGTATTCGTGTATGTTTAGTTATGTTTATATGATAGTGGAAATGTGCAATGAAAGTGCAATGGAGATCATCAACAGAGCCTATGCAATATTGACGAGGCATTTGTACCATTTATTAAAATGTGTGGGTTTGCGCTCCCTTGTCCTACTGTAGATTTAGATTTGTTTCATTGGTTTGGGGCTCCGTAAACACTACCTGCCACTTACGTGTTTCCAATCAATTCGTGTACATCTGCTATTTTAAATAGTAAACCAATACTTAACTTATCCTGCCCACCCCCATCACCTCGTCTCTCTCCAGCCCTGGTGAAACTGGAGAGTCATTGAGTGTAGTGATTATAAAGTAAAGTGTATGCTGTGTTTTCAATAGATATTCCTATTAACTCAGTATTAACTATACTGAGACAGATTAGCGGTGGTGATATACATCACAAACATGGGGAGAGGTTTCCAGGGCTGAACCAGCTAGTCCACCCCAGAGTCCTATATTTCAAGTCTCAAAATAGTCGGATTAATAGTTCTCCAGAGAATAATCAATTTAAAAATCGCACATTTGTAAAACTTTTGCCCAAAAAGTTAAAACACAGTTAATGCTGACATAAAAAAATGCTTATCACTTTATATGACCACAAACAATTTCGCCAATTTGCTTGCAAAACCCTTACCCATATAGAAATACATGATAATACGAGACTGCCAGGTTTGGACCAATCGCACAAAAGCTCAAATGAACAGAATCCCACTTTTCTACAAAACGATCGATTTACAGACATTACATTTTTATGTATATCTCCAACATTTATGATATAAATATTACACCAAAGTAAAACTTCGTATCGCTTTACAGCACCACAACCAAATTTCCCAAACAAACATAATCCCCAAAATTTTCGAATTTACAGGCGATTAATAGAAATAATAATTGCTGTAATAAAAATGTTCGTTATTCGCAATATATGCTATACATTCTAACTCAGTCAGTCAGTGCGTCATTTAACGTTAATCTTTACTGAAGATGATGAACAGAACATTATTTCGATGTAATATATCAAATGATTTATTTTGTATACACATAAATAACGTCCCTGTTTCATATAACGTGAAGGATATGAAATTATTGAGTTCACCGTCCGCCCTGTTTAAGTTATTGGTACATTCTGCGCATGAGCACATATCTTATATGACTTAATGTTCGCCAATGAAGTTGATTGCGAATGTCTGATAAATGAATGTCATAATGGTCGGTCATGGAGATTTGTGTTTAGTAGTAGTTGGAAGACAATCGATTCATTTCGGTTTTAAGAATATTTTAGTAAAATAAACTGCGATCGTTTTTTTTTTACGTGCATGCAAAGATACTTGAAAGAATATAATGAAGGTTGACTAAATTAGATAATGGGGGTCTGGAAAACATTGTGAAAAACGTGCTTTGATGTAAACACAGAGTTACCTAATTATGAACCACCTTAATAATTTGTACTGATTATATAGCTATGCTACAAGAGGGTTTGAAAATCCAGGAAATTGAATTTTATACATTGGAGAATTCATTAAAGGCTATCAGTACAGTTTATTTTCGAATGTCGAACATTGTCTTACTGTTGCCTAGCTGTCTTGTAATAAGGGCCAAACGCATAATCCTTGTCAACACTATTTCAAAGATTGGCAGATAGAAAACTCGTCTCGTTGTTTACTCTTTCACAATTGCTAGGAATGAAATATATATAACTGCATACAGAATTTAAACGGGTCATGTTTATGTCGCAATTTTTGTTGGTAAAAGTGTGAATCAATTTATGATTTTAGTCGAGATTTGCTTTGATATATTACTTATTCGTCACCAGTTATCACGAAAAGTACCACTGTTAGTGTGTATCTGGTTAGACACAAAATTGACTGGATTTATAACGCAAAGCTATTCGATGTCAGTAAAAAAACTTGCACCAAACCTAATCAACTGGTATATTTCCCTGAGAATTTCTCGCCATAATGCTACTATCTTGGGTAGGAAGCGTACAATACTCGGCTGTTACCTTGTCCTTCATATACCCTCGGTTCTCCTTTAATTATCATGATGCAGAGCCCAGAAAGCGTGGTTGGCAGATGGTAGTAAAATGTTTGCAGTAACAACAAAGTTTTCATTCCCTTAAAACATTACACCAGCATATATACCTTTTGAAGGTTTATATATGTGTGTGTGTGTCCGATTTACAGATCATTACAAAAAATATATTTTAAATAGTAGGACTAAAAATAAGCGCAATAGCAAAATTGGCCATCAGAATATCTCCTCAACAAACATTGATACATCTTACGTACTACCGTACAGGGAAGAATTGTACTAACTCCATATTTAAATGTGCAAAGGATTGTGGGATAGACAATTGAACTGTAACTCTATGCTAAAATCAACTGTTAACCTTTCCTGTTTTCAAGCAAAGAGTTATTTTTTTAAACTTTATAGTTATATTGTTGAACTTTTTTTAATTTACCTGGAAAGAATTTTTTAAAGTTCGTTTTTAGTGTTTTCTTGTTTTTGGCTGCGAGCTTTCTAACTGTGGGAACCATTGCTTGTCCTAAAATGTAACTTTTTAAGGCCGATTAAAATAATGCACCCAATATACCTCTTCTCTAGAACTATTTATTCATAACAATTTTGTACATAATTTACACATTTATAACATTTCTAATAATGTAATACACTTCATTAAATGATACATAAATTCTAACAAGCAGTAATTTCCAACATTCGACTAATATTGATAAACAAATATTTATAATTGCCGTCCATTGACAGAACTGTAAGAAACAAGTGTAATCTTCAATAACAAGCTCAAACAAATGAAATTAAATCGTAAATAAATTAAAACTGAAATATTTACCACAATTAGTTAAAATTATAGAAATAATATACTATAACACTAGTTTGTAACGTTGAATAACGTTTAAATTGACAGTCGTCAAACGTTGAAACGTTATCTATTTGTATTACCATCTTTTCTGTTAAGGAATCATAAATTGTCTCAAACATTATTCTAACAAAAAGGCTACGTGCTCATTCGGGACATGCCAAAATTAAAAATCTTATTTAGTTCACCTCCTTGAATGCTACCATCAATTGTTGTTATCTTTTACAAAATAAACACTATATTAATGGTTTTCCATTTGGTCAAAAACTATGAAAAATGCAAACAAAATCTTGCCATTACAAATTAGGTCGCTAAAAGAGTGTTTCAATAATACGTTTAATACTATATTGAGTTTAAACACAAATCATGGCAATTTTAACGAATTCTACAATGAAATAATTGACGAGCATTCAACACATAAACCAGCTTAACACAAATTAATATTTAACTATAACATACTACACAAGTTACTTAACAATTCGAAAAAAATATCTAATCAAAAATGGATAATTATGTATTCAATATTTTTAACTTTGTAGTTGCCCATAAATACAACCTACTGCATTTCATTAAAAATTAGCTGTTATGTCTTACTAGCTATGCCCCAAAATGTGATAGTAACATTCTGATAAATGCATTTATTTTTGTAGCAAACTATTTGTCGTTCAATCTCAACAATTGTAAGTTATAACTTGCTATAGATACAATACCTGAAAACAAATCAAATATTTATTCTAACAATGAAATTAAAAAAAATATTTTTGAATATGATTATTCTAATTCTTAATGTCGTGGTATCGAGTAAAAATAACATTTCTTAATACATTACAGCAAATTTGAATTTCGTCACTAAATCATTTTTCTCATATTTCACCACTACAGTGATTTGCAACTCAGTATTCTGTTCTAGAACATTAATAATATTTAACTTAGTTAAACTTAATTTAGTTATTCAGCTAAATATATTTAAAATCAAGATCAGTACTTAACAATTGTCGTAATACAAGTTGGCAACATGTCATGAAGATATTGTGCATTATTATACTTCATCGCCCTATCAGCCAATCAGATTCACTCATTTGGCAGGTAATATTTCTTACACATTTCATGATCTTATCAGTAATTCAGCTTTACGCATCTAGGGCCGATATTTAATATTGTTACACTCCTGTGGTTCCATCATTAAAAATAACTTTTCCATCTGCGCATGTCTTAAGGTTTGTCAGCATTTTCTCAATGTATCAGTCCTAATTTAGAACAGCTCGAACAGCTGTAACATGTTCTGCCCATCAAGGTCGAGTTATATACAATCTCCGGTTTACGTGGTGGGATAATGTGGTGAAATGTATTGTAAATATAGTATTGTACATACTAGCAATTGTTCCTACTTTTAGCTAATATTATTGTTGTACACACTTTAAAAATTGTCATGGTTGCAGGAATTACGGTATACCTATTCATTCTATTCTTTGATTTCTATTACAGCATTACGAACGAACATGAACAAATAAATCAATATAACGTACATGTGACCATCATACCACTTCAAACTGTTTTCGATTATTGATGATACCTACATGTGCTAATATTGTTTGACGTTTTGAGTTATTACATTTTAACAATATTAGAGTAACAAAAAAATACCACAAATGGGACACGAACATAAGTCATATTATGAGAAAATAGTTTCTTGTATCTAGAGTGTATTACCGTTAAATACTCAACACTTATTTGTCACTGCTCTTAGTCAAAATATCTGAATCTAAAATCTTCATAACACAAGCAACTAAATGTGGGTTGCCGGTGACCAGAATCTGTATGTGCTCTGCTTCTGCGACACCTTGCGGTGGTGTTGGGTCGTCGACTCTCAGGAGGTGCAATATGAGAATCCTTTCCGCATGATGCCCATTGTACAGCATGCAAAGCACATGTGAACATTGCAGATGTGGTTTTCCGAGGAAATGCATCAGAAGAAAATTCGGCTTCTTCTTCCAATAGCCAAGTGTCTCTGTTTCGTCTAACTACTGGATACACTTCTTCTATACGTTTTGTCAAGACGTTCTCTTCTAGAATTTAAAGTTATAAAATATATCGTTCACTCAACATGATGCTGATGTGTTCTTAGTAAATAGTAGGCAATGTTGCATGAAAAGAACAACAAATCATGTCACTGCAGCAACCTTAACAAAAATAATAAACAATGGCATGGGATTCACATGACATTATCAGTCATTATTATAAGCCTCGCTCTGTCCCGGTAAACTAGCGTCTTGTTTGAATAACCTCACATTATGCAAAGTCATATATCGCAATACATTTAAATGAAACGACGACAGTTTATTCAATATAAAAATTGCAGGTGATACGTGTCAATTGTCGTGAAATGTTATGTGAAACTGGTTATACTTGAGAATAAATACGATTATTAATTCCGCGAAAAAAATGATGCTAAAACGAAAGTTTGTCCTCGTAAAACCGGATACACACGTTTCAACATAGTCAACTTAACATACAAAAAGTGATTAACATAAACGGATTTTAACTACCTCAAAATACTAATTTTGATTATGACAGATGATGTTATATTTGTTTTCAACAACTGCTTTTTGTCTGTGCTGAAATTGTGTATATACTATAATGACGATATTTTATAAATATTTTGAAACATTCTGATTTTAGCAAAAGCAGCCAGTATTACTGAGATCTCGTTTATTTCATTAAAAACATCTGACATAATAAGGCGGCTGACATATGTGGAACAAGACATATTCACTCTTTTCAAAATACCAGTGATAGTTGTATACTTCTGGGTCTAGGTATCACCGTGTTTGACGTGGTTTGCTCGCAGGAATATTAGTATATACCTTAACTATCAGTACATACTACAAGATGTTGGTTTGGACATTAATACTTAAATTGAACACTATTCAACATTGGATCAAACATTGCATCACATTCGAATCACGTTCGTTTACACAGTTTATTTAAGCGATGATGGAAACATAATGGTGGACTAACTAGTAGAATTCAAAAATGAATTTGGTCGCAGTTATTTAGAAATCCACACAAATGTGAACTACCATCTAGTACCTGAATGACTGAGGCCAAGCCATGAGCGAGCATTACATTTATTTAGAAACTGAATGCCAACAAGTTAGTTTCATGTAGTTCCTCATTTGAGTGTATGATAAATCGATCCTACTGTTCAGTGTGAATCATTAAGTTGGATTTGAATTCAGGACATTCACTATTTCACATGCAATATATCAATCAAAATGTGTTTCTATTGGTAGTAACATACTGTAAGTTCTTGCTGCAGTAAGCATTAGTAAACACTTACTTGGTAGTGTAATATCGGGACAGAAGGCAGCAGCTAAAAAGTTGCAACGCTTTATATCTCCCATGAATGCTATTGGATCACGGCCCTTGGAAATATTGAATATAAGCACTCTCACACAATGTCGCCTGTAATAAATCATTTCAGGGTTGGTGACGAGGGACAGTTTGAAAATGTTGTATATATTCCAAACAGTCAATGACGATGAGCAACTAAGATGAGAAATTCCATATAATGGACATTTGTCAAACTATTTTTTGGCAATTCATTCATTCTCAGAGGTACAAAATGGCCATAATGTAATTGTTATAATTGTCGAGTTGTCAGCTATCAAAATGGTCAATGTCAAGTTGATTGTTAATTAGTTCATCTTTAAATTCAGTTGATGCTTAAATAGTTGAAGTAACTGTTATTGACAATTTGCTAACTACTGTATACATACCCCAGCAATTGTTCTTCCTTCGCTGATTCTCCTTTAAACCATTTGACACAAGCCACAATGCTCTTTTTTGTATGAGCTGAGTCCAAATAGTACGTAACATTCTCACGTTTTATAGTCTGCGTACGTCCGGGCCAGTAACAGTTTTGTAGTCCTGTAATGTCAAAGCAGAACATTCGTTGACAGTAGAAAGACTAACAATTTAATTTTATTGAAAAAAAAGGAAAAATATCCTTGACAATCGAGCAGCAGCTTTGTTTATTGTCACAAGGTTACATATTTTGACCATTTTATTGCACTTGAACAAGAAATAAAATAACACTAAATAGCCGCAATAAACATATTCTATTTTGAGTTTGGTGTTTAATTTTCTACAGTCCTATGTTATTTGTGCATGAGAATGTTAATTTAATCACGACTCATTTCTGACAGAAATGACTTGATATGTACAGTTGAGTCGAGTCGTTAGCAGGAATTCAAGTCTAGTAA